ATGGTTGGAGGGGTAGGTACTAGACCTGCTGTCAAGCATCCTCACTTTGAATATGAGCAGATGAATGACCGTATTGTTACAAATGAACAATTGCTTTATAATTTGTCTAATCGTAAGTTTCATTTTCATGCATCAGTTCAGGCCCGGTACATGCATATATATGTGTGGTTGACCCTTTAATGTCATTCCTTGTATTTATTTTTATAGGGAAATTTACTGTTCCATCTGTCATTGGACAGTGTTGTCATGCAACTGATAGTTTTACAATAAACAAATTGAATGAAAATAGAGGAATAATATTTGGAGGAGCAGTTTGTAAAAACGGTTTTTCTACACGTACCAACAATGTGTACATATTCAAGGTGACACAAGCTACAATAGTAAGTTATTTTATGCATACATGTAGACCGCTTCAAATTCTCCAATAAAATTCATTGTTACATTGGCAGGCCTACTGGTTTATTAATTTTCATATATTAGTTTCAGCTGTATAAACTCATTAAACTGCATGTATAATTAATGCAAAAATGGCAATAATGAATAGCGATGCTGCAGTTTGTGGGCAAGTAACAGGAAACAATGAGTCATATTGGAGTGACCATATAATCACCTAATATATTTATAATTTAATCTACATGTATTTTTAATTGATTTAAACATCATTATTTTTTTGTGATAAAAATTGAGGGACAGAACTTCACACCCCCTCTGCATGTGATAGTTGTAACTTTGTTTTATCTATTTAGCATTGGGAGAGTGTTAAAAGAGGATCGATATCTGGTGGGGGACTCCGGCCTAAAGAGAGAAGTGATCATGCTGGTGCTATTATCAATGGAGCCTTTACCCCACCTGCACTAGTAGTGATTGGTGGAATGGATAGTAACAATCAACTACTGAATGAATGTTTACTATTTGATAATGTCACTACTGGTCAGTACAATTGTAAGAAGGTACATGTATATCTATATGCATTGTATTTCAATTATTAATTTAATGATAAAATTTGGCTATGATACAACTGTATCTCATTTTTCTATAGATTCGCCTACCTGAATCTGTTGCTGGTAGATACCTTCACTCACTCACAGCTGTCACAATATCACCAAATTGTGTGTGGCTAGTAATTATTGGAGGATATAAAGGGGTGGGATGGAGAGATATTGGAGGAGGAATAAAGCAGCCAAAGGTTTTACCAATCACTGATAGTAATAGAGTAATAATGATAGTTGAATTAGGTAATTATTTCAATGGGATTGTTAACCACAATTGACATCTGATTTAATGAATTAATATGTATTTCCTTATTTGCAGTATGTATTGAAGCTGGTGGTGAGTGGACAGTACAGTCAGTACTGGGTGGTAATGATCTCACTAGTAAGAAATATCAAGAAAAGTATGATATATACAGCAAGACAAGAACATGGTGGATGGATCAGTTAATGGAATATCCCACAGAGAAGGAAATGGAGCTTGAGAGGTATATTCAGCTACTCCAAGAAAAACTACAAGTGGCTCATCAAAACAAAGTATCACTACAGGAGGCACTGGTTGAGGCCAATCAACAAGGTAATACTATATTTGTATGGTTTTTTGCATTATTGATATAATTTTTTTATCGTATTTTTTTCAGCCAAAGTTGATGATCATAAATTGGCAATGAAGGAGAAATTGGAAGAGGTGTTAAAGGCACAAGTACAAGTACATGAAGAGAAGCAGATTATTACCGGTTAGTGTGTATCATCAATACAAATTATTGGGTGAGTCTATTAATGTAGAAGAAAACGAGAAACTTAGAGCAGCAGTTGCTTATAATGAAGTATGGATAACTGAAATAGAAGAAGAGAAGAGACAAATAGAGGAAGAGAAGAGAAAAGTAGAAGACGAGAATAAACAAGCAAAGAAAGAGAAGGAGCAAATAGATGAAGAGAAGAGACAATTAGAGGAGCAATACCTCATAGAGAAACAGATCACTAAAGGTTAGAGTGTTGTCATCAATATGTTTGTATTATATAAGTGACTATTTTTAGAACTTAAAGCTAAAGTTGCTGTTAATGATGTATATATAACTCAATTAGAGGAAGACAGCGAAAAAGTAGAGAAACAATATTACAAAGAGAATCAGGGTTAGAGTCAGACATGGGGCAAGCACTTAAGCACTTGTGCTTATAAGCACTTTAAGCACTTTTTTGTAAATGCTTGAAGGTGCTTGCAAGCTTTAATCATATTGCAAGCACTTGTGCTTGACTTGTACTTAAGCTCTTTTTAATCTAAATGCTTTAAAGCACTTTTTAAGCACTAGTGCTTGTCTGTTTTATCAGTTACCACTAATATGGTTGTCATGCATGTGTGTGACATCTATCATAACATATGTAAGAGACCTGCACCTTTAAAGATGGCCTACCAAATTTTATTACTTTGATCTATTTGAAGATTTGAGTGGTACTTTTAGAGCCTCAGTGCCGCAAGCATTGCCTTGAATTATAGATAGAGTGCTTTACTTGTGCTTTAAGCATTTTTAACAGTGCTTTAGGTATTGCTTGAAGAAAATCTTTATACACAGCATTAGTGCTTGTGCTTGTGCTTAAGTATTTTTATAAGTGCTTTAGATGTGCTTGAAGCACATTGCTATATTGAAGCATTTGTGCTTGGCTTGTGCTTAAGCATTTTCCCCAGTGCTTTATGATGTGCTTCAAGCATTTTAGAAAGTGCTTGCCCCATGTCTGGTTAGAGTATTGTCATTAATGTATATTATGAGAGAATATTTAGAACTTAAAACTAAAGTTGCTGATAATGAATTGTATACTGCCAAACTATTGAAAGAAAGGGAGCAATGGAGTCATATCAAAGAGACTAGTACCATTGGATTACAATTTAACTACCTGATCCCTTCAATTGGTAAGAGTATTATTGTGTGACTAACTGACTCCAAATACACATTTTATACAATAATTGATAGATAATTTGGAATATTTGAGTGATGTCCAGGTGGCAAAGAGGAAGCTGTTTTTAATTCAAGGAGACAAACCTCAACTGATGAATTGGGAGAAATATGGTCTAAGGATTGGAGTACAAGGAGACAGTTTACTGCCCTCTGATACTGTAGAAGTAGCAGTGGTTGCTCTTGTAGGAGGACAGTTCCAGTTTCCTCCTAATACTGTCCTAGTCAGTGCTGTGTATGCAGTATCACTCTCAAAGCCTCTCCTCAAACGACTCAAGTTAGAGATACAGCACTGTGTTGATTTAACAGGACAACCAGCTCTTAGTCGTTATCTCAAGTTTGCTATAGCTCCCGTGAGCACACCCAGTCTTCCTTACCAGTTTTCAACAGTTGAGGGAGGAGAATTTAAACCTGATAGTTGGTATGGATCCATTCAACGTAAAAAGTTCTGTTTGGTAGCTATTGTTGGGGAGAAACATCTACCCAAATCATCAACTAATGGAGATGAGTCAGAGGAAGAGCAAGAGGAACAAGCAGAAGAGGGAACTGAGGAGGAAGTGGAAGATGGTAATAGTGATTCATCCAGTGATTCTGATGAGACTAAAGATCCACCAGGAACTAGCAGTGGAGCACAAAGTCAGTATGGTAGTCAGTAAATCAGGCATGTGTATGTGTGTACTAATTATGTAGGAGAGTCTAATAGTAATCATGGAGTAGAGGAAGAGGGGGATACTGGAGGTCAGCCATTATTTGAGAAGGGAAATGAAAGAGTAGAAGAGTCAAAGGATTATAAAGAATCACAGCATGAAGAAGCAATTGCTCCAATACCTTGCACTGAGATTAGTTCAGATTTTAATAGTAAATTTATGCACAGTGAATGATATTATTATTTTGTGTACAGGTAAAGTAGTAGTTTCCACTGGTATAATAGAGAATATGGCTTATGCTGGACTGATTTATTATGAGGAGAAAAGAGCTGAAGACTTAGTGGCATTTACTGCAGCTAAAGATCTTAATGCACTGCTTGAGGTAATAGTTTGTTATGTACCATAAAATATTAACATTGTGTAAAGTTTATTGACAAGAAGCACTCTCAAGCTGAAGTTGGACAGAATATTCTGTTTCGTTTCAAAGATTACGATGGACATATTGAATTAAAGTTTGATGCACCTCAAGAAAAACCATTTACTGGTTGGAGTATTGAGCCTCACCTTAAACCTTGTAGAGTAAGTAATGTAAATATATAACTGATGGTTGGTATGTGTATATTAATAGTTTCTACGTTGTGATGTTGATAAGTTTGGTGAAGCTAATTATCCTCTTCCTTCCACTTGTTTAATATCAGTATATGGGTCACCTGCATGGTGCTGTACCATCATTGCACTATTCTATACCACTGGATGGAGTGGCTGATCCTAAGACATTATTTGTTCATCGATCACTAAGAACTACTTTTTCTCCTCCTTCAACAAGTAATAGATACAAATGATTTAAAATTGTTTATTTAATTTATCAGATCCTACTACCTCTTCCTCTTCCTCTAATGTAGTACATGAATCAACGTCAGTATCATCCACTGGAGGAGCTAGTAAGTGATAATACTGTGTGTATATACTGACCTTTGACCTTTATTAGATCCATCAGCTACTGTTGATGTCAATAAAGTGAAGAAAGTGATTGATGATGTTCTTGTATCTCATTATGCTGCACTCAATTCTCTTAAAACGTCTCTCTCAGATCTTGCCTGTCAGTTATATGCAGCTCATCTTATTAGTGATGAAGTCAGAGAGACTCGTAACATGGAATCATTCATTTCAGAGTTCAAAGCTAGTCTTAGTTTCAAGAGAAAGTTACCTAAAGTGCAGGAGCACTGTCAAAAGTTCTTAAGCTCGTTCATTGCTGTAAGAGGCAGTTATGCTGATGCAGCAATAGCTTTAGGTGAGGACTGGATTGAAGCTATTAGAAGTGAACTGGGATGTGATTTTAATATTGATATTGATGCTTAATTAATTTTGATTATTTAACTTCATTTTTGTTTCGTATTATTAAAAAAATTTGTACTGGTTATAATTTCAATATTCCATGTCACTGGTTGTGGCTTATTAATGAGGTGTGTAACCATATCTACCCATACCAATGCCAGATACATACAGTCCATTGTACACATACGATGATATGAAACCTTCGTCCCCATTCCCTCTGTCCAGTCTCATGTGGTAGCCACGTGTCAGGTTTATCTTCTTGCCAAGGAGTCCTATTTTTTGGCTGTCATGTCACCAAGTGAATTCCCTCCAGGGCCTCTAAATGAGGCCAGGTCCTCTGGTTTGAGGTGCTGCTGAGGGTCTGATGGTGGGTTGTACTTTAAATGATCGGCTGCAGCTCTGGCAGCCTCAGACATAAATTGGATAAAATTAAAATCAGTTTCACAGCTCACCTAATAAAATAATATCGTTATTACATCACAATACCGGAATTTAAGTAATAATAATAATATTAATAATAATAACCATCTCCTTCAACGTCTTTCTGTAACTTTATGGCATTTTAATGCCTGTATGTGGTCCTGCCGATTTGCTGCCCTTCCTCCACAGGTTGACGGGCTTGTTTGACTCCTCTGTTTTCTTTTTTCTCTCCTCTATTCTCTTCTTTCTCTCCTCATTTATTTTTCTGTTTGTTTTATGTTGTTCTTCTAATTCTCTAAGGGCTACTCCCTCTTTCTTTCTGTGCTATTGTTCACCCCTTGTCTCTTATAATAATAATAATAATAATAATAATAATATTAATAATAATTGGGGCAAGCAAAAGCGAGCCCCGCATAAACGACATGAGTATGTAAGTCTGTTTGTACACGTACGTCACCCCCCTTTATGCATTTATAAAAAAATAATAGCCACACATTTTAAATGATAATTTTGATAAATTACGGTACCACTTGCAAAGACAACGAGGAAGAGTAAAGCATCTTAATCACTGGAAGAGATGAGTACTGATTCAAGAAACAAGAGAAGCTGAAGCT